GATACACCCCGGGGCCACGCCCTCGGCTTCAGACCCCTCAGGTAATCCAGGGGGTTGATTCACTGATTGGGTGGAGACTCACAGCCCATCATTTCTCGAATCTTCTTAAACTGTCTCACATGTGAGCTTTGGGGGGACACCTCACATCCAAACCTTAACATATAAATGACCCCAGAGGGGCATGAAGGTCATTCTGCCTCTCCCTGTCAGGAATAGATCCCAGAGCAGGCTCCTCCTGCCCCTCCCGTGTGCTCCCCTGGAGCTGGGCCTGGCCAAAGGCAGCGATTTCCACGCTCACCACAGAGGAGCCCCCTGCTGGAGAAAGCGTGCATTGGAGAGCCCGTGTGTGGCCCCTTTAAATGGCCACTTCTCATAACCCTGCTTGGGGGTGCCCACCCTCTTCTCTGTAGAGTCAGTGCCAGGCAGATGTCAGACTTACCCCATAAATCCCTATAGAAAATGAATTGAATCACACTCCAACTCCTCAGTGTCTGCCCCTTTACCCATTTCTTCTGGTCCCCCACCTAGTTTCCTCTCTGGTCCTCGGAGGCCTATTTGATGTGTGACCCCTCCTTTTCTGTCTTGCACCTCGAGGAGGCAGGGAGGGTGGAGGCCCTCCTCTTGATCCAGCCCTTTTTCCCTCCCTCTTCCTGTGGCCTTGGTAATGTCTGTACTAACTCTGAGGCTGGCCTTGAATTTGCCACTCCTGCCTCAGCCTCAGTAGCTGGGTTTACAAATTTGTTCTTGATCTTATTAAACTTTTGGGGATCTCATCTGGGGTGGACCCGACTTTTCTCAGGAAAGAGACCGAGAATTTACGGTCGGTCTCTGAGTCTGTAGAGGTAATGGGACTTTTTCATTAGAGTTTTCAGGTTCTCTCCGATTCCTTTTCTGTCCTATTCTCAAGGGCCCAGTGCGTCTTATAAATACTCAGTAGATAATCCTCAAGATTACTTCTTGTCTTTCCTGTTCGAATTTGGAACCAGCTGTGCCTCACTACATGTATGAAGGTCTGGACACAAGTGTCTCTGCTGGAAAGGTCATATAGTACTTTGTGGTTCTGTAACTGAACACAGCGGTTTGCCCCTTGGTGAGTGCAAAGCCAGTAACACAACCAGGGATTAAAAAGCGGGAAGAGGTTTACTTTTGTTAAGAAAAGAGAGCAGCAGGAATGAATCCTAAAGTCGTGTCTCCCTGAACTCCAGTGGCAAGAGGATTTTGTCAGGGAGACTTATAAAAACCCATACTAGAAATATTGTACTCACCTGTAGAGGCAGCACATTCCTGAGCATCCTCAGTTTGAGATCAGCTTTGTATTGTCAAAGTGGCCTGAATGCCACTGAGGAGGAAAACACACAGCATTGTAGGGACATTATAATGAGCAAAGTTTACTCTGTGTCACGTAGTGGAGGGACTGAGTGGCTTTGGCTAGTTTAAACCAGTTCCTTGTGTTTTGTTCCCTGGGGGTCTTATCTGAGACTAAGTAACAACTTGAAGGGACTCAGCAGTCCCTTCAAGTATCTTCTTTCCCTACCAGCACAGATGGTTGCCCCTAAAAGTTCCTACTTAGTAGCAAACAATACCAGACAAAAAACTGAAGAATTATTAAGTACTTCCAGTGCATCCCCCTTGGAAGTCATGTCATGGTGTGAAGAGTATCCGTCAGCTTTACACAGTAGGTGGTACACAGTAGGCACTGTCAACAAGTGAGTCAGGGGACGGTGTGCAGGACATTGTGAGCGCTGGTAGACTGTTCTGGGTAGGGCAGTGTGAAGGTGTAACTTCACACTGAAATATCCTAAGAGAAGTAGACTGAGTGGCCAGGGAAGAGACTAGTCAGTGTGAAAGTAAGTCTTGTATGTAAAATCCTCACACTCTTCTCCTGCTCTGGCTGTCGGGTGACACAACTGTGCTTCCTGTTCAGCGAAGGGTGGCAACTAAATACGTCCTCTAGACATTCTTATGAGATGCTG